CGGAATTATGCTTTTAATAGCCCTGAAATTGTACCATAATCAATAAAATTAGAAGAGAATTCATTCCGGTACAACCGGAATCATACTTTTAATAGCCCTGAAATTGTACTATAATCAATAAAATTAGACGAGAATTCATTCCGATACAACCGGAATTATGCTTTTAATAGCCCTGAAATTGTACCATAATCAATAAAATTAGAAGAGAATTCATTCCGGTACAACCGGAATCATACTTTTAATAGCCCTGAAATTGTGCTATAATTAATAAAACGAAATATATAATACTTATGAAAAATGAAAATTGACAAAAAATCATGACAATATACATCATTAATCTTATCAATAATTTTAAGCTATCACTAATTATCATTAATTTCATTGATGCTTATACAGTAACATGTGATAGTGGAGTGGTGTAAAAGCAATCAAAAATTCCTTTATGATAACGATGAATATATTGTGCTAATATAAATGTAATATTAATATGATAACGTTATCATATGATAGATTATGATATCAATTTAATCATTAATAAATAATTACTAATAAACGTTTAAAATTATATTAATGATAAAAAGAATAGGGAAAATTTGTTAGGATATTTGGAACTTTTAAATGCAATATATTAAAAGTGATATGATAATATGATAACATCATAACTTCAACAATAGTTATCAATTGCTATGAAAATAAAATCTACATTACGGTAACGAATTGTTACTTTTACTGTTCATTGTTTAAAATTATATCAATCATTGTTAACTTTAACAAAGTGATTTTTTTTTCCTGGAAAATTTCTTAACATTTACATTTTTGTAATCTTATCTTTACCAATAATTTGAACACAAATGAAACAGAAGAAAAAAATTTTTTTTTTTGAGTAATTTGAAATATTCATGAATTTCTAGGAAAATGAAATTGATAAATCGTTTTGTTGCTTCTGGAGAATACAATTATTTCAAGATGAGAACATACTGTAAACACTTATCTAGAGGTCATGGGTCACAAAAGGATAAGAGAAGTATGGGACAGTTGATAAACAAGAAACAACTAATTAAACTAATTTTGTGAGCAAAACAGTTTTAAAATAAAGCGAATCTTGTTCATAATTATAATTCTTTTAATTGGAAATAATGCTGATTTAATTGTGAAAACAGTGATAGGACAGACGAAAAGAGAAGAGACAAGTAATTATCAGATGCTATCAGATAAGCTGTTGCCATATGTCGCATATTTTTTTTTTTCAGGAGTAATTGATATCAGCAAACTTTTTTGTGCAATCATTGTATCAATGAGTATCAAATGATCGTGAACTTGATATGTAAAGCTATCATCGATATCCACAATAGGCTAATCTTAATGTTATCGAATGTAGCAAGTGAAGTATAAGTAGCAAGTATAAGTCAGAAAATAGTTGTTCTAGTACTTTTATTGTATGTGACATCGATTTGGACAGTATTTTTGAAAGGACAAAAAAGATAGTTGAAAGGAAAGAGAGAGAGGAAGAGGAAAAGATAGGATAACTTTAGTTATAGCTTTACAAGTAATAACTTTTTTTACGATAGATAATTGTACAGTAATCATTTGCATATCATTTTTTGAATTGTTCAGCTTTATTTAATTGCAAAAAAATTTTTTATTACAAATAATATTTGTATTCTTTAACTTTTATATTTACAAAACCGAAGGAAAAATATCGTGATTGGAAAAATTACAAGTGTTTCCCAGGTAGCATAATGTTCTGAAATATAGCTTATTGATTTCTTTACTTTTCTCTCTGTGATATGAAAGTTGTTTATCAGTGAACCAGAATTCCCATCCTATTTCATGATTTCAGTTATTCTGTTTAATATATGCTTTACTCAAATTGTCCAATCGAAATACCGTTGTTCATTTCTTTCACTTAATTTCATTACTGTTGCTTTTGTATTAGCCAATTTATCAACTCTTGAGTAGCGGAAACTAGTCCGGAACGTTCCGGAACGGATTTCATTGGTAAATTAAATTAAGAAAATCTTACGAAATAATCTGTTTACTGCTACGATAACTATTTCTTCTTTATATCTAAAATTTTAGCTATTAATATCAGAGAATGATAAATTAAAATAATTTAACGGTCAAATATGAATGAAATAAATCGAGAAAAGTTATGATAAGAATATTATGCGAAATGATCAATGAACGAATCGATATATGATTCATATTTGATGGGAAAATTGATAATTAGCTAGATAAGTAATGATAATCTTAATATTCCTGATAAATTACTTTACTCGAATTGTATTGAATAACGAAGCAATAATGTAAATCTTTTCATTCTTCTTTCTAATCGAAGAATATTTAATTTAAAATTGCATTTTGCAATTTATTTCAAAGCGAACAGTTTTTATAAGTTCTATGGTATATAGATAATTCAATTCCAATTAGAAGAAAAAATATTACCATTATCCCAATAATCATGATAATCCAATCCAAATTGAGTAGTCTAAAGTAATAAATATTTTGGAATTAAAAAGTAATAAATATTTTGAAATTAAAAAGTAATAAACATTTTGAAATTATAATTTATAAAAATTAAATAAAAATTTTTAGTAAATTAAAGATTAAAAAAGTATTTCTGTTATAGGTTGTATTCTATCTAAACAAATGTTTGAAATAGATGAAAGAATGAAATTATTGACATTTTCTTGGTGATATCTTTTATGCAAATATTATTTATAAAATATTTAATTATTAAGTTGTGAAATTTTCAACATCTTGTATAAGATGAATGCTACAATAAACTAAAAAGATTAATTCAAAATCAAAAACTATTGATAGTACTAAAAGTTTAGTTAACATTAAATAATAATGAATAGTATAGTTTTAAATGAATGCATTCTTTTATATCATTCATTAAATTGAATGATAATACCTCTTTGGTTTTAGAATAATCATCAGCTTTAGGATGCTGTGATACAGGAAACTGAAATTGATTTCATTATATGTCATCATCCTTTTTTGTCATCTTTGACATGTGTCTTTTCCTCTCACGTTTTCAGTACTTGTCATTGACTTTTAATTTTCATTTTGTTTAAAATACACTTTTAGATTACAAAATCAGATACATGAAATAACAGTTACGATAATGATCAGATAAATTAGTGAAAAAGTTGAATAATTATGATAAGGCGGAAAATATGCTACCTATATCATATATTTTACTATCGAGATATTCTAATTAATACTTTTTTTATTACCAGAATTTTTGAAAACGAAACAAAGATTACCGTAGCATTCGATGCTTGATATCGACATAAAACACGGTATTCGAAAAATCGTATTTTACAATTAATATCAAACACATAATATTTCCTGGTATCATCTATGAAGAAAGATAACATTTAATCTGTTAAAATAGTTTTACCCTGACAATAAGAAATTATGACAGTGTCAACTGTAACAGTTTATTTCAAAGTTTTTTTTTTTTTTTGTTTACCATATTCTCTTATTTTTTTCCATCAAATTCTTCAACAAACTTGTATTTATAAATTCCATTAAAAGAATTGCATTAAACAGATTTCAAAATTAACTTTTAAATAATTTAAAGAATGAAAATATTTTTCATCTAATTATAAACATTAAGATTAATTTGAATTAAAATAAAAATCAAAATATGAAATATTACTTATAATAAAATCTTATCATAAATGATTATCAAATTTATCAATTTATTGATAAGAAATATTTTGATAAGAAGCATTATAACTCATCAAGATTCATATGCTTAACATTAAACATTCTATATAAATCGAGAAAGCTTACATGTTGGTGGACTATAAAGAAAAAATCGACGACAATGGCCTTTTTTAACATCTATAAAACGTGATTTATAATCATATCCCAAGAAATCACTATAATTAAACGTTGATTTATCAAACCATTGGAAACGATCATTTTCATATTTTAATCCAATCAATAATGGCATTGCAGTTCGAGAATAATCAGCTGCTAAATAGATCAAACAATTTCTATTAATTGATAATAATAATTAGCTAGAAATCGATGTTATAAATTTGAAAAAAAAAATAATTTTTTCAAAATTTGAATATTTAAAAATAATTCGAATATATTTGAAATAATTTGAATATATTTGAAATAATTAAAAAAAGACAATTTGCATAATATTTATTTGTGTTGTAGTGTTGAAAAAGAAAATTGACTGAAAATGTGACAAAAAAAGTATGAAACAACTGGTTCAATTTTCAGTCAAAAATAAAAAAAAAAAAAAGAGAAGATAAAATGATTGAAATCAAGTACATACTTCGATACAGTACTTTAACAAATTCAAATTCTTTTTTAGAACGAATAGAAACACTGGAACCAAATGGTGAAGCTTGTTTTGTATATAATCGACATAAACGCTCATCTCCCTCGCCATCTGGTTTCTTCCAGAACTTGTCAAGATCAGGGAAATCCTTTAATGACAATCATACAGCTAATTAATTTTATCAAATTTGAAAAATTCGATAGTTAAACTTTTTCAACATTAAGCTTGAAGCGATTCATTACATTTACTATATTCTATGGATTTGGGGTAAAATGAAATAGCTTATTTAATTAGCTTAAAATGAGCAATTATTACCAATTATTCATTAAAGTATGATTAAGTGAAGCTAACAAAGCTAAATGTTAAAAGGATACAGTTGCATTACCATCTGGAAAGCATACATGCAATATGGTATAGATGAATGTTTCAGTACTTAAATTACAACTTGGTTGACAAAATGTTTGTCAATGAAATTCCGCTTACAATTTAGCATGAAATGTAAACAAGCAGATGATATCAATTACATATTACAGTATCATCTAATTACAAATAATGAATGTAACAATGAAAGGACAAACAAATCTATTGAACGAATGCATTCTGTAACAATAAGTATCCAAACCAATTCGTTTGGTATCATAATCACGAAAACATATTCCTAAAATTAGAAATTGAAAAATTTTCTTCAAATGATCAAAGATTATTGTTGTTATTTTTCATTTTTCTATTTTTAAATTAAAGTAATTCATTAAAAAAAAGCATTTTTTGCAAGAAAAAAACGAAACTTCTAAATCATATAATAATATACCTAAAAAGTTTTTTTTTTTTTATAAAATCTAACTCTAACAATTTATTATTGAATAAGGTAAATATTAATATCAAGATATGATGAATTAATAGATATTTGAAAGAGTATACTAAGTTTTGCTATATGACACAAATAAAGTGACATAATTTGTCATCAGGAATTATGAATATTTCCATGTAAGTTTTATAGACACAAATAAAGTGACATAAATTTGTCATCA